TTCGGGGAAACCGACCCTGCCAGGAGTATTGATCCTAGTCGTCTTGGGGAATTTATCGTGCCAACTGCCTTTAAGGCAGAGAACAAAATTATCGTGCCAACTACCCTTAGGATTGGCTGGACCACGTCTAATGCGGTGTTGACGAATACACTTGTGGCAGCTCAGAAAGCCCATTTACCCCTGAAACCTGTACCTATTCTAATACCTATTCTATTGTAAGTAGAAGACATCGTGTGCTTGCAGATGCCTCCCCCCCACAGCGTGTCCTGCTCTATTTCCTTACAATTCAAGGCGCATTCCACGCTGATCGATAGGTGGAGACGGTCCTTAACTCCATCTATCGACCACGCACCCGTTCTCTTTAGCGTCCCAAAAGGAGTGGAATGATAGTGTGCAAGATTGGTTCTCCTTCTTCATTCGTGCGATCGACGAGGGTGTTTGAGTAAGCCACACAGTCGTTGAGAAAGAAAGGGACACAAAACGGCGCTTGGACTGGTAGCCACGAACTGAAAACCTGAAAGTTTAGTGGAATACCTAATCATAAAATTACCTTTAATGCCAGGTAAAGAACTCCACAGGTAGAGCCACATTCGAAGTCGGGACCTATATCACCCCATTCGTAGCGCACATTACGTACATACTTCAGGACAGGATTGCCTTCTTGTCGTCGACGATTCACGATCAGACGCGATCCCGCTCCACCAACCGATGTGCCTGAACTGAGTTGTTTCATTCTGTTCTGAAAAGGCCCGGGTGTTTCACCAACGTGACGCTATTAGTACAAAATTTCAGTCACTGCCCTCCCTCTGACACGAACTGAAGAAATACAGTCACTAGCCCTGCGAACAAGAGGGGAATGAAGCGCAGATTCCTTGGCATTTTTACACCAATGGTCGTCCTGAGCCCGGAACAAGTGGTGGAGACGGCTACTGTGGCTGCGCTCCTAACCACGTACCCTCATTCCTCCTGTCATTCGCAGGGATAGACTACATAGCTGCTCAACGAATTTCGGTCGCTCACGGCTGATATTTCCCACCATTAACCGCAGTCCTCGCTTCTTGTGATGGATATGGGAAAAGAGAGTAAAGATGGACGGGGTCCTGTGAACCATTCCTTATCCCACTGGCACGCTACTCCCCTTTGGTACCTATTACGGAGGGTCTCCGGACTGAGAACTCGTCTATACGAAACTGCCCTTACAGTGAACGGAACGTGCATTTTCAAGTAAAGATCGGTAGCATTTCGCTTGCGAATATCGAGAGGTGGACAT